TTCTTTTTTAATTAGTAATCCTTACTTTTTCTTTTTTACAATCTTTCTACATTTTTCTATTTTTTTTAACATGTAACTCACTCATTTGCATCGGATTTACTACACTTTTTGTCCAATTTTTTTTTTGAGCTATGTGCAGCACTCCGTCACTCCATAAGCCATTTGTTTACCTTTAGCAACATTGATTTTGTGTCCGACGAGCTGTAATCCAGCGAAACTTAAGTCGCACACCAAAACGTTGGTGCAATTATATATATAAATATATATATATATATATATATATATATATTATATTAAATTAAATATAATTATCAATCCTCCTACTAATTACTATCTGTTTATCATCAATATATATATTAAATCAAATTAAATATAATTATCAATCCTTCTACTAATTACTATCTGTTTATCATCGCTTGAACCGGCTTCTAATGCTCCAGTTGGCGCGGCTTGGTGAGAGTAGTCGTTGCTCCCGGGGGCACAGTCCTATGGTTACAGAGAACTCAGTCGAGTTCCGCCACGGAATATGTGAGCGAGCGGGGCTAAGTTGAGTCTGATTTGGAATCTCTTCGTCACCGAGGCCCATTTGGTACAGTTGGTATGTTGTTCGCTTAATAACCCAACCGTCAGAGTTTCGATACTCGGTGGTGGATGCGCACTGCTGATGAGTTCCAATTATAGCGCGAAACGGCCGTCCAGTGCTTCCTCTTTTCCTGTTGAGGTTTCTATCAGACTCAATGAATTAATTAAATATATATATGTTTCTTTGTATGTATGTATTGAAATCATATGAAAGAACAATGAGATTTCTAATTCAGATTTCTTGCACTTATTTTTATTTTAAAAAAAAAAAGAGGTATCAATACAACAGCAAAGCGTATTATAATTTTTTTTTTTAATCTATTATCATCGCAGAACCGAAATTTGGTGATAATATATTAAAAAAACAATTATATACATATATATATGTGTGTCTGTGTGTGTCTGTGTTTGTATATGACCATTTCATTGAATATGACAGACAAAACGATTTATTTTTTTATACAATTTCTCATGTGGTCTTTTTTTTTCTTTTCGAATGATAAATTATATAAAAACGGTTCAATTGATCTTTTTATCCCTGCACTCTCAAGGACACATGGCACAGTGGATAAAGGCGTTGGTTAGATCCAGTGACAGGACCCAAAGTATGTGAGTTCAATACCCGGTTAAGGCAGTGGAGAACTTTCAGAGGGAAAATTAGCAGGAGATAACTGATAACTGACATCCATCAAACATGGCACGTGGAACTAGAACAGTCTACCCCAATGAGCGAAATAAAGGGTTCAGTTCGAAATTCCAACCACCTGAAGAAGGCCGGAGCGTACAACGGCCGAAACGTTGTGACAAATATGGCGACAAAGATGAGGACAATAGTCCGACTAATGTAAATACTGAACAATTGGGCAGTTTTATATAATTTATCATCCGAAAATAAAACAATTAGTAGATCACATGAGAAACTAAATCAAAGCACCTCTTCTGTCGTATACAATGTAATGTGCCTAAATACACAAATTTCATATATATATATATATATATATATATATATATATATATATATATATATGAAAGAAAATACAGAAAAAACAAAAATCTGAATATGCATTTATGTAGTATTAATGTTAAAATAAAGTCGACGTCGGACGTTTCGGTCTATTTAAGACCATCATCATGGACATTTTCATTTAAACATAATTAACATTATAACTTATAAAAATTTAACACAAAAGCCCATGGACATAAGAGCCCAAATAATTCACACAGATAACTGAAATTTTATACAGATCAGCGTCTCGTTAATTATGTTTAAATGAAAATGTCCATGATGATGGTCTTAAATAGACGGAAACGTCCGACGTTGACTTTATTTTTAACATTAATACTACATAAATGCATATTCAGATTTTTGTTCTTTTCTGTATTTTCTTTCATACTGTCGGATTTATATCCATATATTTGCTTACATATATATATATATATATATATATATATATATATATATATATATATATGTGTGTGTGTGTGTGTGTGTGTGTGTGTGTGTGTGTGTGTTTGTGTGTGTGTGAGTTTTAAACCTTAAATATGAAACATAGGACTATCTCTATATGGAAAGAGCAGTTTCATCAACTGAAATGTATTTAGTTATTGATCATAAAATATATGTATAAATTAAAAATAAATATTTGCTGTTGGAATCTTTTTTTTTTTTTTTCATTTTTTCTGCCTTTACACGCTATTTTGGATTATTTGGGGGTATCCATTCCAACTTGAGCATTTCTATTCTAATCATACAATTTAAATCTTCATCTTGTTTTGCCGAAAAAAAAATGTCACCCTTATCCTCTGAAAAGGTCAAATAAACGAAATATTAGCGTGTTTTTTTTTTTATTATTTTCCCGCGATGACTCCAGTTTTTACAGTTCATTTACTCCTTTTCTCTGCAACTCTAGAAGACATATTTTTGGAGACAATTCCTTCTTAATGCCATTTTTTTTATATTCATGTCATTTGTGTGTGTATACATCTACAGATATTCAAATTCTCATCTAACTCACAGAACTGATTTCTTGTCAGGAGACGTTATTCCCGCCATAATTTCTCATTAGTTCAAATTAAAATATTTAGAATGTGGATTTTGTTGAGGTGCATATTAAGCTCTATTGGTCATTTCAAGACGAAATCTAAATATTTTGAACACAATTTGATGTTGGATTTATAACTAAAGATTTTATATATATATATATATATATATATATATATATATATGTGTGTGTGTGTGTGTGTGAAAAGTGTGTGTATATGAATATAAATATATAATTATTTATATATTATATGCGCGGTACTTATTAGAAAGCGCTCAATATCAAAGATAAAGCTAACATATTTGGTTGAATAGATCAGACAACTGATCTCAACCTTAGCTCAAATCCTCCTACTAATTACTATCTGTGTTTATCATCGCTTGAACCGGCTTCTAATGCTCCAGTTGGCGCGGCTTGGTGAGAGTAGTCGTGGCTCCCGGGGGCACAGTCCTATGGTTACAGAGAACTCAGTCGAGTTCCGCCACGGAATATGTGAGCGAGCGGGGCTAAGTTGAGTCTGATTTGGAATCTCTTCGTCACCGATGCCCATTTGGTACAGTTGGTATGGTGTTCGCTTGACAACACAACTGTCAGGGTTTTGATACTCGGTGGTGGATGTGCACTGCTGATGAGTCCCAATTATAGGACGAAACTGCCGTCCAGTGCTTCCTCTATTCCTGTTGAGGTTTCTATCAGACTCAATGAATGAATTAATTAAACATATATATATATATATATATATATATATATATATATATATATATATATATATATATATATATAGTATAGCTGGCCACTTGTATTCGAGTATACCAGTTTACTAAGGCGGCTAGCCAATCCGTATTGCAGTCGCTAGCTCAGAAACATTTGTCTTTATTTACCACCAACAGAGCCCAATATTTCCAGCAGTATAATTCAATAAATGTCGATTAATATTATTGATTAACTTTTCCAAATTACGAATAATCCTTCTCAGGCTAGGAGGAAATTCGCTCAGAATTTGTCCCCAGTTAATTTTGGAAGAAATATGATCAAAACTTTCAGCTTTCTTAAGTCATCATCAGGGTAGATAGAGAGAAATGGTGAGTTTCAAAGAATTGGTGATTATAGGGACCTAGCCAAAGAGTTTTGTGCCGTAGGCGAGGCGTAACGTGTCTGTTCGTGTGTATTTTATTTATTTTTTATTTTTATATATATATTAGGATTCTGGTTTTTACATTATAATTGTTTTTATTTATAGATGATTGTTTTGTTTTTTTATTATATGAATATTATTCGAATATCGTAAGTCTATTTTTACCTTTTGATTTTAGTTGGATTTTGGGGTTGCTTGTGAGTGATGTTACTTATGCTGCTGAGTAATGTGTTTTCTGATGGCACCCTAGATAAATGACAGGTGAGTCTCCGCTAGAGTGTTGTTGTGATGTATGCCATGTAAACGTTTTGCGTGTTTTTATTTACAGCGAAACTTTTTTTCGTGTGGGCAAGTATGCTCATACACAACATTGGTCTTCTATAGGTGTTGAAAGTTTGGGAACATTGCTTGTCGAATATGTAATTAATGGACCCTTTATTGCTAAGCGTTTGTTTTACATTATATAATTCTTTAACGTGTTTATTTCTTCGTATTAAGGTATTAATGTTACGAGTTTTTATTTTTTTATTTTTTAGGGCATTCACTGTTGTTGTATAGAAGGCGAGAATTAGAAGTAGAAAACTTTTAATACGGTGATGTGGTAAATTTGCTCTTTTAGCCGATGACAATACATAGAAATGGGATTTTTTTTATCAATATTTAGTTCATAAGTAAAGTTTAAAACGATTAGAAGCACGTCGCATCTAAATTGACATAAAATATTGTTAAGAGACCGTAGCTGTAATTCTTTCTTTATTAAGGAGAAGGAACAAAAAAAAAAGAACAGGAATTAAATAAGACAACGATTGATATCATATTTAAACTTTTGAAGATGAACGTTCATGTAAAGCAAGAAGCCGGAAGAGAGTTCCATAAGCGATAAGTGCGAGAGAAGAAACTGTAGTATATGACTTATGGTGACATCTAGTCATTTCAACTATAAAATGAAGAGACCTAACAGCCAACTTAGTACTGCGCTTAAATTCATAAAGCTTAGCTATCAAAGGATAAAGTTCATCAGATTATTTGTTTTGTCACACGACAGTTCATTCTTCACTTTACCAAAACTCAAAATCGGTACACGTTCTTGTGGGTGATAACATGAGCCAAGTATCACTCGGTTCTTCTTCAAAAACTCTCCAGCTACTTCCTTCAATTAAATCTAGATTCTTCGTCCAGAACTCTCCAGATTCTTTCTCTATATATATCAAGATTCATGGCCTCTCTATAAAAACCAAATGATGATCTTCCAGGCCGTGACCCTCACCATCCTTCTCTACGCTTGCGAGGCCTGCACTTTCTATAATCTGGACATCATACATCTAGAACGGTTCCAGCAAACAAAGCCCCGAAGAATCCGTTGCATCATGTGGGAGTTCCTTATCACCAACAACAAAGCTCTCTCTCGGACGTCTCTCCCCAGCATCGAGGTTACCATCCTTCAACATCGCCTCCGCTGAGCGGGTCACATCAATAATGCGTCCCACTCGACTCCCACCTATCATCTTTGGAGAACCCGCCAGCGGCAAGAGGCTACGCGCAGGCCCTAAACGATGTTTCAAGAATCAGTTGAAAACATCCCTAAAACAGGCCGACGTCGACCTTGAGACTTGGGAAACCGTTGCCGCAAATCGGCCTTCATTTTGAGTCCAAATGTCAACGTGAAGAGGATGTGCGACATGATGTCAGGAGGTTCCGACACGCCCAGCCGCGTTCACTACCCGCACTCGTCTGTGTCACCATCTCACGACTTTTCAGGAATCGGCTGGGCCCTCAGAGCTATCTCCATCACTGCCACCACAAGGGAGAAATAAGCAGAGGTGATGAAGATCTCGATGCTCGGATGCGACCGTGTGCCGATTACGCCTGTATCATGATTCTTCGTCCAGGATTCTCCAGATTATTTCCTCCATCCAGCAACGTCTTCCCCGTAGGCGCAACGTCGAAAGCCTAGGTTTGAAGCTACTCTTTCGCTATTTCCATGGCAAATGTTCAAAAAAGGTCCTTGCTTTAGTTCTAAATATTCAAGACTTTACTTCTAGGATAAGACATACCGGTTTCACGATGTCGAATCGCCAGCAATTGCTTTAAATAAATAAAAGAAGGAACTGCATTGTAGAGCATAGATAGACCCTTAAACATTACACTCTTAACTAAAACAAGTTAACTAACCTCCTGCTTCATATAATCTTCACATCTTATAACTGCTTTCTTTAATAATATCTAATTTAACAGTAACAGTCTAGACAACTTATATTAAAATAAATGTTGGGCACCTCGAGGTGATGTAATGGTTAGCAATCTTAGCTCGCAAGAACAATTACGACTGAGTAGTGAGTTCGATCCTCACTAGGTGACCCCTAATTTCGGCCTTGTGCCACATCTAAGCTACGCTTGGAACATCACTATTTCGCACCTCGAGGTGGTGTAATGGTTAGCAAGCTTGTCTCGCTAGAACAATTACGGCTGGGTAGTGAGTTCGATCCTCACTGGGTGCCCATTACTTTCGGCCTTGTGCCACATCTAAGCTACGCTTGGAAAATCACTATATTAAAATAAATGAACCATATTAAATATGTAAGATTTGAATGGAAAAATAGAAAATTAATCCAAGGTTCTCCGTTTCGTCCTCATAAAAAATGTCAATAATTCTTTTTATATAGAGTTTAAGCTTGATAAATGCAGGGAGAGATATTTTCCGATCAGTATTCTTTATTTTGGTCGACTGTCCCATTATTCTCTGGGTCATGTTGAAGACATACAGTTGTTGGTTATGGAATTTATTACCCCTTTTAATTATTCGATACAGTTAAGTAAAACATCAGTTTTATCAAAATCATATTTATTTTAAATAAAGCTGTACTTTTTGACTACAGTAAATGTATATATAGTTTGATCAACGGTGTAACCAGGGCTAGCAGTACATACGTTATTTTATATCTCGTGTATGATACGACCCTCTTAAAATTAACTTCAAAATTAAGTCTTCAAATGTCGCCTCATACACGAGTATATATGGTATATGTTAATTAAATGATTGATTAAGTTGGTCATGGCGCGAAATTCCAGCGATGGCGCCTAGTTTTATCCGGATTAAAAGAAGCCTATGGCAATGAGTTACCGTAAAATCGGTGATACATGTGTTATATCTTATCTGTAGGTTAACTAATCGTTTTTAAATAACTCTCTTTCTCCGTACATTTGGAACTGGCTTCGATAATTACTGAAGTTTCTTTGAAGAATTATGATATGATGGTTTTGAGTCTGGTAATTTTCCAGTATTGGAGCTACTTTTAGTAATTCTGTCGTCTGGATGTGTTTGATATTTCATCCAGAACCGTCCATTCTGTCTTTCGAAATGCAAACACTCTGGTTTGGTGATTTTTCCAACCCAGGACTATCCAGATGTTTTTTCCGGTATTCGCCATAATCTTCCGGCAGATATCTAGAGATTCTTACTCCAGAACTCTCCAGATTCTTCCTCCAGGACTCACCAGATACATCATCTAGGTATCTCTAGGTATTTCCTCCGGGAATCTCCAGATTATCCCTCCAGAAACCTCTAGATTCTCCCTCAACGAATGTCCAGATTCTTCCCCCAGGTATCTCTAGATACTTCCACCTGGACTCTCCAGATTGTCCCTCCATGACTCTCCAGATCGTCCCTCCATGAATCTCCATAACTCTTCCCCTATTTATATCTAGATTCTTCCTCCAGAATTTTCCAGATACTTCCTCCATTAATCTCTAAATTCTTCCTCCAAGAATCTCCAGATTCTTCCTCCAGTTATTTCTAGATCCTTCCTCCAGAACACTCCATGTTCTTTCTCCATGTTTCTCTGGATTCCTCCTAAGATCTCTTCAGGTATATCTAGCTTGTTCCTTCAAGAATCTTCAGATACTTCCTCCAGGTATCTCTATACTCTTTCTCCAAGACCCTCCATATTCTTCGTCCATGTTTCTCTGGATTCTTCCTAAGATCTCTTCAGGTCCTTCCTCCAGTTATCTCTAGATTCTTCCTTTAAGAATCTCCAGATGCTTCCTCCTGGTATCTTTAGATTCTTTCTCAAAGACCCTCCATATTCTTCGTCCATGTTTCTCTGGATTCTTCCTAAGATCTCTCCAGGTTCTTCCTACAGGTATCTCTAGTTTCCTCTTTCAGGAATCTTCTTATCCTTCATCCAGGGATCTCTAGTTTCTTCCACCAGGATTTTTTCAAATCGGAAATTCCTTTTTATTCCTCAAATTGTTGGTTGAATTTTTGGTTCAGTCATGTCTAGATTTTTATGAAAGAGCCGCTCCATGTACATCAATATCTGTAGCTCTTGGGATCAAATGCAGGGAGGATAACTGTATCACCAATAAGATCCTGTAAAATAAAAAAAAAAAATATATATATATATATATATATATATATATATATATATATATATATATATATATGTATGTATAATGTAACGATATATGATTTCGTATAATTTTATATATCAACAAAAATATTTAAGAAAATAAGATAAACTGTAAATTTTTGTTGACGCTTTTCATACGTTGGCATTTCATTGGACTGGACTTTGTTGACATTTTGAAACTATCTGCGTCTCTCGTGCGCATGTGTAAACGTGGCAACGTCAACAAATCCCAGTCCAATAAAAACATAACGGATGAAACGCACCCAGAAATTTGGCACATTTATATATATATATATATATATATATATATATATATATATATATGTATGACAAAAGTTCATTTTCTCCATCAAGACATTCATTTCTGTAGTTTACTGCTACCAGCAAGCAGAAATATTTCTTCTCCCGATGATGGCCATTTTGGCTGAAACTAGTCGAGTAATCTAAATTAAATAATAATAATAAAAAAACGAAAGAATATTAAACTACAACCCAGTGTGTCTGAAGATTTTAATTTTTTAATATTTTATATATATATATATATATATATATATATATGCGTGTGTGTGTTGTGTGTGTGTGTGTGTGTGTGTGTGTGTGTGTGTAGTAGATATTTTAAAATACAGACTACCATTCGTCCATGCATTGAATATTTCTATCTGGTGATTCTGCTATTTACCGAAGAGATTGTTTATAAAATCCAAAGAATAGTCTGGAATGTTATCGGTCCTGACCTGGCATCTCAGCTTGTTCTTTCCCCACGTAAATTTCATGTACTTTTGCTATAAATCATCATGTTAAGCGTTGTGATAAGCTTTTCTCCTTGTTACATTGAATTTATAAATCTAAACACTGTACCAGATTGGCAGATAGGTCTCATCATTATAATGATTAAATTTATTCAGCCTGTCTGAAGTTATTATGCAAATCAATTAAACCTCAATAACTCGAAAAGTTCTGAACCAATATTTGTCAAGTTTGGATTTTCCATTTCAGCCCTTACAAAAATATTTAATTAAATTTCTGCCATTTTTATAGATTAGCTTTTAAGATATTTTGAATTTCCAAAAATGGATTGACGTCCATTTTTGTAAATTCCAAACATTACTCAGATTAAAGTAATATTAACTTAAGGCCTCTGAAATGCAATAAAAATATTTTTTATGTCTATAATATATGTTGAAAAATGGGGTAAAGAGAAGGTTCTAACGACTACTGAAAAAGAGAAAATAACAAACTTATTGAGGGAGTAAATGTCTAAATTGGAGATATCAAATGAGCTTTGCAGAGATCATCGAACGATAAAGAAGGCTGTTGAAAATATAAGTTGAGAACTCGAAGCAAATGAAAAGGTTTTAAGAACTTGCTTCCTCGAGATGAACGTAAAGTCTAAGTTCAAATCTTGAGGTCTGCGGTGTTTACAAATGTAGAAATGAAGAAGAAACTTGGACGATGTACGTATTAACCGCTCGAACACAGAACTATAAACAATCACGATGAAAGGATGTTCCCTAATGGGGACCCCGTGACTTGAGCGCATATTGGGACTTAAACAGAACCCGGACTTCAAGTGGAATTCGTACATAAGATACATCGTTAAAGATGCTGCTAAAATGGTTACTACAATCTTAAAATGTTCAAGTCTAGGGTCAGCCGTTATCTTTCAGGTATAAATATTGGTTCTTACTCTGTAGTCATTTACCTTCTGCGGCTCTTGTACGGTGAGGGCATCATTGTAAAAAAAAAGCCCCAACTTTAAATCCGATGATACCCCATTTTTTTTCCGTGGTGGTGATGCTATTATCCATTATACTAAACTCACATCCAAGCTTACAGCACCGGGTAATTCCACTTGTTCCACCATGGTGTTTAAATTTGATATCACCTTAAACTTTATTATATTTCTCCCAATATAGGACCCAAAAGCCACTCAATGTAGATGGTTAGTAAATGAGGTTGTTGTCCAAAAAAGCAGGGCAGCATTTTGGTGCTGGCAGCGTAGACATCAAAACCAAAACAGCTTTGTTTACGTTAGGGCATAAAAATGAGCATATATGAACAACGCGAAAGTCAGAGAAAGTTTCGCGTTTATAAGGCACAATTCAACGTTGCTGGATCGTCGAAACAGTCCCGAGTAGAGTCTGATGCGCATCGTATCTGACGTATTTTTGTTCTCCTCTCACGTAGGACGCTGTTTCGAATCCTGCCTGAAAAGCGCATCTGTTCTTCTTTATAAATACATACGAATGTCAGTGTGTCACACTTTTTCAATTTTACTCCTAGAGGCTGTAACCCAACATATCATACCATTTTGGAATCTGGCCGACTCTGTTAACAAATTAAAGTCACTCCAGGCCAGACCCGGATCTGCAATCCTGAAATTTTGGATTCCCAAATTTTCATTGTTGCGATTGTTTTCGGAACCGCCATCTTGGCTTCTACTCATAAAAACATTTCAAGGGACACAACTCTCTAACTTTCAATAGCTCATGTTCAAATAAAAAAAAATATTGTTCTCAAATTACTGTGTTTCAAACTAAAATTATCCGCGTTTTTAAACTTTACTCCTAGAGGCCGTAGCCTAACACATAACATTTTGGAATCAGGCAATCCTCAAATTTTGGATTCTGGAGTTTTCATAACTGTGATTGTTTTCGGCGATTTTTTACGTGATTTTTGCAAAAAAAATTTTTGTATGATAACAATTTTTTATAACTTGTAAATAAATTTGGAAATAATCGAAATTAATTGCGAAATCCAGTGGAAGTTAGCCATGAAATAAAAATAATTGCTTGTACGGAAAGTAAGGACCTACGTACATCAAAATGTATTTAAATTAAGCGGCGGCAGAATAATTATTAAAAGATAAGCTTGAATATTAATGCAATATTAATGCAGCGATGAATTTTGAGTTCTTCTGTAGTTTATTGTTGTCTACTGCATCTACCCCTCCCTGTCTATTGTAATATAAGCCCAATCAAGAGCCTTCTGAAGGAGTTAGGTCAAATGCCACCCGATAGCACAGCTTTTAAGCTAGTTAATAATAATACTCGAATATTCAGGGCGGTAAACGAAGATAAACAAATATATTGTTTAATCAATAAACGAAACGTCTATTCAAATATGGTAGCCACTAAAAATGTTTACGTAATAAAGTATATATTAAGTTTGTTTTTTTAGAATTCTTTTTTTTTTTTTTTTTTTTTACACAAGCCATTCTCAATTCCTGAACGTGGTTTTAAAGGCGTGTCGGTTTTAAAATGTACATGCCACACCCTTCCATGTTCTGTACTTTTCTTCCTGGTTGCATGCGCCTATTATGGAAGTGTGCGTAAATTCAGCCTGCGTCGCGTTTGTGCTGACAGCTCCATGAAAATAAATTAGACGAGAATAGCTAAAAAAAAAAAAAAAGAAAAGAAAAAGAAATTCTTACGCCCAAATAGATAGATGTTTATGTTGGGCGCATGAAAACTCACAGATAAACACGCAAAGCTGGACTGCATTTTAGAGCCTGTCTTGCATGTTTAACTAACTGCAACCGAGTTTGTCTGACAGCGAGGAAAATATGGAATATATGTTTGAGAAATACAAGTAAAGGTCAAGATGTCAAATGATATCAATAATTTTTCTTTTCTTTTTGATTTTTTCTGCTATTTGATGCGGTAGGAATACTTCCCATATTTTAAAGATTCACAAATAAACCAAGGTAAGTGCTATTGAAAGAAATAATTCCTCTGCTGTTTAAACAAAAGGCTACAGTTTCTTTTCATTTGATTTAAAAACTAATTGACATCCTCCAATTGGTGACCTCTATTCACCATCAAATTTTGCAGACGATTTCTACAGTTTTTCATTACCCCAGGAGTTACTTTTGGCGGTATTTCTGCCATTTTCTGTCGAGTTTTTCCTAGTTGCGTTCTTGTAAATCCCGAACAACCATGAATTTTTATGGCGATTTTCTAAGTGCCCCTTAGGTGGGTGAGTATTACGTCATTGCTAATGCGCCGGTCAGGGCTCAAAATCCGAGAAAGTTTTCGTTAGAAACAAAGAAAAGATTTTCGATTTTGTGTCAAAAGTAGGCTACGCTTAGTTAATCACTATACGTAGCCAGCTTCTGCTGGGGAATTTGAAATTAGCGGAACAGCTATGTCTTATACGTTCTACTATCGGCTTAGGGTTAGACTTATTTTTAGTGTTGTGATAAGTTCACCCCAATCAAGGCTATAATTAGAAGCAAGCGTTTATTAGGAGTGAAAGATAAGACATTAAGAGATGGGACAGGAAACACAATCTTAAACAGGAAACAAGAAATATACGTCTACTTCTGAGTCGACCAAGCATAGAAATGAATACAATATGGGAACCAGTAATAAATAGTGCCAGAGAAAAGCTATAATAACAACAAAAAAATAGCAATATGAGCTCTGGTAAAAACAGGAAATGTTACCAGAAAAATTGAAATATGAGCACTGGTAAAAAATGATTGCTGATGACATTAAGTTTATAATACCCAGAAATTCATACTCAAGGACACATGGCCATAGCACAGTGGATAAAGGTGTTAGATCCAGTGAGAGGACCCAAAGAATGTGAGTTCAATAAGCGGTTAAGGCAGTGGAGAACTCGCAGAGGAGAATTAGCAGGAGATAACTGACAACTGATATCCATTAAAACATGTCACACGGAACTAGAAAAGTCTACCACCGTGAGCGAAATAAAGAGTTCAGTTC